ACTTTTCAAAGGAAAAATAGATTTTCCCTGTAAGAAAAAAAATAATACTAAATGTTTAATGCATTCATCTTATAATATCATCATATTTTCATGCGCCAAAATAATTTGGTTCAAGTTCAAGTGGCACTGCAATATATCTCAGAATGGGCTTAAAAATAGACTCTGTTTTTATTGGCCTCACGTTTTGTCAGCAAAATGGATGAATGGACTCGCCACGTGTGTTGCAACTTCACAACGTGAGTAAAAATTAAATTTGCTGAGTCGCACGTTCGCCTTGGAATAATTGAAAATACAGTTTATGCCAGGCTTTTTCGGGACGAGTTAGCCTATTATAGTGATTCATCGACGACGGTGGAGGAAACGCCGCTCATAACCATACGTCGTCGGCTTCGTAGGATCGTAACATCTACGAAGAAAATCCAACCGGTTTATTTTTTCTCTTACCGATATAGGCGGTACTTCCTCTCACTATAGGCGCTGTGGAACATACACAGTCAAAAGTCTGCGCTAGAAATATATACGGTACTTTAACTGGCGGAATCTATTTCCGGAAGAAGATTTTAAACTAATCTTTTTCTTCTTTTTCTTTTTATTTTAATAGAGAATGTTAACCTATATACATACATTTTATATTTTTTTATGTATGTAAAGAATTTATATGACATTTTAAAAGATTTAATTATTTGTTTTAGATATCACAAATTTATGAAAAATGTTATTTTATTTTGAATACATAAAGGACTTTTCGTCGAAGCATCAAAAAATTAAAACAACTGTTTAATTATATTGTCTAATATTAATTGGTAATTATCTAGAAGCAAGTAGCATGAATTGCACGACTAAAAACTATCATTTCCTGACTGTTTGATTTAACACAGTTTTAAATTATTATGGCGGGCGCTGTGAAATAAAATACATAATTATTTAGAGCGTAACGATCATAAATGAGGATAATTTCTTTACCAACTTTAATTTTTCTGTTAAAGAAATATAATATTCCTAATATTTTTAAAATAAAAACCGATGCAAATTGGTTGTGTTCAACAGAAAAAATAGCTTTGCAACAAATGTTGTAAGATTCTTGGTTTTTGTTGCCCTCAATCCTCGGCTTAAACGTATATTAATTACATTAAAGAATCTCACAACAGTTGCTAAGCTACTATTTTATTGAAAACGCAGCCATTGATTAGTATGAATCTTCTATACTTTCGTAATAACGATCGCTTCTTGCCCAGAACGAGTCTATAGGATGAATCCGCCTTAACGTCGCTACGAATATAAAATATATAATATTCTTCCGCGGAGAGTGCGCAAATCGGCGTGATTAGATACGCGATATATTCTTATCGGTGTACGTATGTGCGTGCGACGCGAAGATTTATGCGTACTCGTAATCACGCATACACGCACGCACGCGTGAACGATAAAATAGGCGCGCGTATGCGTGTGAACGATTACCAACGATCGTGCTCTTACGATAAACGCACACTTTAACATGCGGAGGCTAGGTGGGAATAATTACGACAAGTAGTGTGTGCAGTTACTTCTGCACGCGTATATATGTATATGTGCTCTGCGCTCGCGTACTGACAAATGAAACAAACAAATTCACTCTGGCACGTATGCGCACGTGCTGGTGGAAATTTCCAGACTCTCGTGAATCCTCCCGCGTGCGATCTCACGCTCGGGAAAACGTCAGATTTTTTCTGTATACGTCATCGAGCGCGTAACTGATAATTAGTACCATGTCGTCTGCGACGAGACAAAATAGAAGAAAGTTACGTGATAACGATATCTTATAGTTTGTCGCAATATTCGTCGTTTATTGCCAATAGATTGCATTATTGCAGTAGATAGCAAAATCTGAGCAAAATCATAAACTTGCGAAAAGCAGATAGATAATATTATCAATAGTATTGTAAGACATTCTCAATCTATTTTTAAAGATAACACATATGTGTATTGTAAATTCGTCACATATTTAAATAATCTGTTATATAAAGGAGATATGTTATAAATAATTTATTCAATGATGATCACTACTGTGTATTGATGATATTATCTGTCTGCGTTTTACAAATTTAGTTTGCTCGGCTTTTGCAATTTATTGTCAATAATCAATATATAATATTGCGATAAATTATAAGAACTTACATCTTTACGGAAGGTTGTAGGAACCTAATCGTTTTTCATCGGAGAATAACCTATTATAAAATCTGATAATATACAAAGCCGTGTTAAAAGTTTAATAGATACTCTACACTCTACGACTACTTGTCCGATTTTTCTGCGATAATTCACTATGAAGTTTTCATTGTCTTCTACATTAAAGTACGGGCTAAAAGCAAAATTATCGTCCTCAAAATCTGATCTCTGATCCTCAATATAATAAAATCTCGATAATCTCGCCTATCGATTGCGCGATATAAATAAGATTGAAAGCTTAGTTGATCTACGATGATAATATTTTCATGATAACATCTAGATGTTCTAAAATGATTAATATTATATACGGTAAAATAATTAATCCAATTATTATTTATAAAAAATAAGGCGTGGAAGATATTATATTCGTCTTTTTATGATTAATGTTGATTAAGTAATATACAAAATTTGCGTTCCTACGCGATGTTTTTTTTTAGAGATTTTTTTTACGATAGATTCTTAAAAACATTTATGAATCTTGATGCTCTGACGTCGCTATATTATTATAGATTCGTTATTTATCGCTACATGGTTTTTTGTACGCGTCACGTCTCGCTCAAGTTATTTTTTAGTCAGACTATATGTGATTATTGTACTCGTACTTTACGTGACTTATCGTGTCATCAGCTTGCAACATTACATAAATGTTGAAAAAGATCATTATTCATTAACATATGAATACTCATGCTACTGATAGTTACGTAGTAATATTCTGAAATTTTCCACACGTATTATCTGCTTGCTATTTTTAACATTTAGTTATTTTTTATTTGATCCAAAATGTGATTTTATTAAATTATGTGATTCATTTTAAAATTTTGCTTAATTCTAAAAGCGTATTGAGAGAAATTTCACAGTGCTCTTAAAATACATCGCATAAATTCTAAAAGCGCCTTAAACATTCACATAAAGTTGGCGCCACATAATTTATGATAATGCTGTTTTTTTTTTCCGAAGAGATGCATCTCGTGTAATGAATCAAGTGACTTAATGGAACATGATTTCTAGAAGCATGTAATCGCTCGACAATAATAGGAATTGTAGTCACCAAGAGAAACTACACATGATTCGAGGAAGTAGAATGCTAGAACCCTGCTTGTGTTCCTTGTGTGCATCAATCTTTATGAAAGACCATATCGAATTAGTTGACAGCATAATGAATGAATCGCTCCAATGTGATATTCATATGCACTCCGTATTTTAGACACATACACGTATCTCGATGATATGCCCTTAATAGCGAAACATATCGTATCAGAATTAGATTAGCTCTTTAGTAAAAATATTCTTCCTTTTTAAACGTAAACGGTCTTTTATCGTAACCTTTATTTTTTCCAAGATTATATGGAAAATAATATATAATTTGTAGGACGTATATTTGCGGAAATTGAGAGATAGTTAAAAATTGAAATGTTGAGTTTATTATACTGAACAGCAGTTTTTTATAGCAGTTTTCACTCAGCTGGCTTAAAAGTAAGAATATTGATTCAAGTAAAGACTCAGAAAAGTTCTTGCAAAAGAATAATCAAATTATCCAGTATAATAAACAAAAATGTTTACTTTGATTCGAAAGATTATAAATAGCTCCTAATGTACCTGCTTGCATTTCAGTTATCGTGATTTATTATTTTTTAACAGATTTATCGTTCTTTACATCTAGAATCTGTTTATCTTTATCTGATTATCTTTATTTTTATTGAAGTAATTAAGAAAAATATTGTCTATACGGTGGGGGGGGGGGAGAGAGATCTGGGTTAAAAACAAAATAACTTTGTGGAACTAATTGTTGCAATAGCTGTTGAAGTGGCATCACATAAGATACACTACGATTTTATCTGACTCTCTTTATTCTCTATTTTCTATTATCTATTGATTATGCTGGGTGAGGAGAGATAAGGGCTTATAAATGAGATCAGATTGAGGCTGATTGATATGTCTGTGCTATAAGTTCATTTTAGTGCGTTGAACTGTATAACGTTAATTTCCTCGATAAAAATATTCGTTATTTTAATTGATAATATCAAGGTCGAGATTGTTGGCGATATTTCTCTTGTATTATATTAAATTTTATATAAAATATTGCATACGATTACTTTTCTAAATATCAGTTAACGCTATTTGATTAAATTATCCTTAATAATAATTTTTGAAAAATGTTTAAATTTTATGCAATCTCGTATTAATATTGTGACAATTATCGAAAGTAATATTCATGTAATATAATACGAATAATATTGCATAAATTAATAAATTAAGCTTATTGTAAAATCAGTAATATATTCTATTAGATTGAGCACTTCAATTTGGTTTAATAATTTAATGTAATCGTGGAAGTTCAAATATTGATATGCATATGAGAAATTTCTTGAAAAATAAGGTGAAAGTCGAGTTAAAGCGTGTTATACTTACAATTAGGTATAATTACTTTCAGCACTTTCGAATCTTTCCAAAGTTCATCTGCCACTTGCATAAGTCTCTGTCGCAACGTCTACCTTCCGTTTTCTAGCAAACGACATATTATTTGAGTCTCCATTGAAACGAACAACCATGCCAGCGACAATCCACTGCCGGTCTATTCGATACGCTATCTTACCGTCACGATGACATCGCCAAATTGTCAAGCCTCAGTTATCATCCGCGCAGCCATTTTAAGGTCAAATTACCCGCGCGACACCTCTCCATTCATTCGATAACGCATCTATCATCGCGGTGTCGCAATAATATTGCGCGGTGAATAACTACAATTTCGGAATTGTACGGTTAACTGAACGCGCTTTTTTTCTTTTTAATTACAGAATGCAGCCTCGACTAAGACGAAGGATCCTTCGTCATCTCCAACGACGACGAGCACCACGAATGGCGGTACCGCCGGCGGTAACAACGTCGGCAATGGACACGCGCCTCTGAAACGCAGCTACACCTCCTTGATGACCACGTTAATCGAACAACACCGAAAACTGGACCGTAGCGTGAGCGAACCGACATCGCGCTACAAGACAGAGCTCTGCCGGCCGTATGAGGAGAGTGGCTCGTGTAAGTACGGCGATAAATGCCAGTTTGCGCATGGATATGGCGAATTGCGCAACCTGGCACGTCATCCAAAGTACAAGACCGAGTTGTGCCGCACTTTCCACACGATTGGCTTTTGCCCGTATGGACCGCGCTGTCACTTTATCCACAATTTCGAGGAAGCTCGTATACACAATCAGAAAGTGAGCGCCCAGCTGGGCTCAACGCAGCCCAACATAGTGGGCTTAAATCCGTTGATGAGTGCGGCTGCAGCTGCGGTAGCATCCGCGACCGGCAACGGTACCGCCGCGAACAACAATGCCACTGCCAATAATGTCAGCGTCAACGTCAGCTTACTCGAGCAACTCGCCGCGTCGTCGCACGTGGCCGCGGCCGCGGCGGCCGCTGCCACTACGTCAAACCTCATGCGAACGAATTCATTGAGTCTCGGTAGTACTGCTGCCACTAGCGCGAATGGCTTCAATCAGCCACCGTTGCTGCGAACGTCATCGCTGAGCCTGGCCACGAATCATCATCACGCGGTACATCTTCGTCCAGTGAACGCCGTTAATACGGTGATGACAAAACCGAAACCGCTCAATCTTAGCCCGACGTTCTCGCTCGGCAGCTCCGCCGATTCAGTCTCGCCGTCATCTAGCCTCAGTCAGTCACCGACGAACTCCATGGCGAGCTTCTTCAGTGATGACTGCAGCCAGCAGACGCTTTCATGCGGGAATATTCAGACGACACCGTTCAGTTATAGTCAAGACTTCAGTCTGCTCGCCTGCTCGAGACAGAGCCCGAGCCCACGCAATAATGGTGTATGCAGTCCCCTCGCGTCCGATGAGGTAACACCCAGAACTCCCTCCCCGTTGTCACCTAACACGGAATCCAGGTTGCCGGTCTTTAATAGGATCAGCAGCACCCTGGGCGACTTCGATAACCTCAAGATCTAGAGCGGTCGCCGCGCGAACCGTAAAGAAGAGAGACGCGAATTCTCGACGAGTCTCGCTCGGAATAAAAAAGAAGTTTTCACGTGAATTGACTCGAGATTTGGGCGATAGCTTCTCTACAGTGGATTCTGTCCATGATGGAATTAACGTCTTTTTTTTCTTTTTTACGCAGATAGAAGTTTGCGTGATGTGGTTTTCCCTTATCCGTCATCGGCCGTATTCCTGAGAAGCATTTTAGGCACACGTCAGGTTTCATTACCCTTTAACTAGCATCTTTTCCTCTTCTTTTTTATATATTATTATAATCATAATCTTCATATATATCTCATCGTACTATTGTAATATATTATTATATTACTACATATATTATATTATCATATTATTATTGATACATACATATTTATCATTTAATATTCTTTCTTTTTCTTCTTCTTTCTCATATTCTTAGATTTCGACGCATATCGTTAGACGCGAGTGACTTTTTAGCAGAAAAGTGAGATCAGCCCGGAAGTCTCAGTCTGCTCGTTTAGGCCCGAATATGAAAATGGTTGGAGGACGGTATGAGAAAAGATAGAGAGAGAGGGTTCTGTGGATAGATCAGTAGGTGCCAGAGGACACCAAGCGTAAATTTATTCCGAAATGTGACTTTCCTCCGAGCAAGTTGTTTATTGATCTCACTTGGTAGATCCTCATTACATCTTACGGTCCCCACGAACCCACTGTCTGCGTCCGTCACCTTCTTCCGTTGGATTTTCGAGTTACAAACAGCAACGTCGCTAAATCCGGGGCAGGTAAAATGTTGCAATATCCAAATAACATATACGATTACGTTTTGTCGAGTTTCTTTTCCGAAGAAGGAAGGGTGGGGAAAGTTGTCTCGAGAGTGAAAGGAGAATAAGCACTCCAGCGAGCGAGCGAAAGAACGAAAGAAAGATCGAGTGAAAGAGGAGTATATGACAGAGTGAATGAGTGAGTGAGTGAGTGAATGAGAGAGAGAGAGAGAGAGAGAGAGAGAGAGAGAGATGCGTGAAGCCAATTAACGCACTGCAAACGGCGTCGTTTGTCGCAAAAGCGGTCATCATGAAATTTGTGGATTGAATACGTTTTATCGTGACTGCCGCTTTTATCGCCATCGGTTTCATTAATCTTCGGGAAATATTTAGCACATCACCGAAAAATGAAACCGATTGGTGGCGTGAATTCATGATAATGTATTTTCAATTCCGCTTGTTTTATGCCCGCATAACGTGAACGCTTCAATATTACGGTTGTTGTACGTATGTGCGACTCTGTTTTAAAACCAACACCCATGCTCTTGCTAGAACAAAAGGTTTTGTTCCTGACAATTTTCACAAATGGACTGTAAAGCTGAGACTGTAGAATAGTTTTAGGATTTTTATTTTTATTTTATTTTATTAATCGTATGAGAAGCGAGCAAGACAGTTAGACCTTTCTCTTTTAAACACATTCGAAAAATTCACACATCGACGCCGTTTCCAGTGATTCCGATCGTTTGATCGCGCAAGTGAGTGCCTTTTGTAAACTTCGATTGTCTTCCATATCACAATGAATAGGCTAGACGTATGAAAGATGGGAGAGAATGGCGATGATATTAAAAGAGAGAGTGTATATGTATGTATGTACGTATGTATGTGTGTGTGTGAGAGAGAGAGAAAGCTGAAAAGAATCTACTGGACAATAATGAAAAAGAAACAGTATGATTGATACGTGTTGCGTTTGGGCAAATTAAATGTATGAAAAAATAGTTATATTTTACATGTATATATTTTATAAAATATATGCATAATACACGACACATACACACACATACATATCGAGAAAGACATATATACTTTGTGTGATTGAATTATCCAGAACGCTCATGTCGATTCCCGACTGGCGTTCTCCTTTTTCTCGGATGAAAGAAAACACTTCTTTCTCGTCGCGAGGCTCGTTGACTTCTGCCTTTCATTTTTTTATATATATACATGTATATGTTACATATTTAATGATATATGTTGCACCCATGATCGCGACGAGGAGAGAGAGAGAGACTCACTTCGGCGCGAACGACAGAGCTATGGTGATGCCGATTTACTTCGTATGTATTGCCCTTTCCCAACAAAAAAAATGTGATAACTGTAATACTATATTAAAAAAATGTGGTAATTATTGCATATAGAAATATTTACTATTATAAAAAAATATGCTATAATAATAAAAATGCAAAGAATAAAGATGCGTGAGAGAAAAGAATGAGCAAGATTGAATGAAGGATGACTGAACCAATGAGAGAAAGAGAAAGAAAATAGCGTGAGAGGCGGAAGTCGGAACGCTCGCGCGGGCCGTGTGATTTCTCGAAGAGATATTTTTCACATTTATTTGTGACATTTCGTTCGAGACACAAATCTGAAATTACAAAAAAATTGTAAAAGTCCATCGCTCACGAATCTCGATGGGAAAACGCCGACCCCGCGTTGCTTCGACGTGAATTAATAATTATTACAAAAAAAGAATACGAGCGCCTACAAACTGACGTGGTTTTCGAAAATCGATATCATTCTGTATATAAGCGCTAAACTCTTTCTTATGCTTATACGAGAAATGTTTTCGTTTAATTTATACTTGGATGCAACTTTGTTATTATATATTTACTTTATTATTATATTATTATTATTAATATAATTATTTTTATTATTATTAATTATTAACTAATTATTATAATTATCGCTGCATTATATTATTATTATTATTATTCGCAAGTAATGCCACTTCATAATCAATGCTCCCAGCAACGAACGAAAGGTTCTGCCGGTTGCCTCTTTACTTCTTTTCTTTCCTCTTTTTCATATAAATAAACGCGAGTGCTTCCTGTCCACAAAACGCACCACCCGATCGCAAACGATGTCGACGGTGTTCTAATATATTGCTACTACCGTGTCACATTACTATATACTATTATTATTATATATTATTATTATTATTATTTTCATCGGCATATCTATTCTATTTAGCAACGATCATTCCTTCTCTTCAGTCACTTCCATATCTCTCATTACCGTCGTCGCTAAACCAAAAAACCCGTGCTTTTTATAATCAATTGTATATAGTTCACGCTATATATAGAACCTCAAAATTATTAGCGATACGTTTTACGACACAAACAATTCGTATTATTAACGTTTTAATTGACAGCAATGGAATTTAGAATCGTGACTTTCAACTTGATCTTCGAACTGACATCTATTACCTCTCTTTGCCACTCGTGTTTTGGTCACCCGTAATTAAGGCATGCAGTTTCAGGAACCGATTGTACCGTAAATATGATGGTATTTATGCTTCTGATTCTATTATATTGGAATCATACTTTTCTGAGTACCAAGTTTTTATTGTAATTTTCTTCCTTTTCAAACGCGATTTTATTTATAGATAAAATTAATTGCTAAAATCAATTTGCTAAAAAGATCAATTTACTTCAAATTTTATCAATTAAGTTAAAGAAATATTATTCTATATACCACGTTCTTATACCATGACTACTTAAGAAATAAAGTGTACTCCTAAATTACACGTGTTGAAGGTTCGATTTTACAGTATATGATTACCTAAAGATTAAAGGTAACCAAGAAATTCATAAATGAATTTCATTGATGAATCTGTTGGTAATCTTTAATCTTTAGGTAACCATATATTGTGAAAACGGGCCTAAGACACGAACGGCAAAGGATAATGCGTGTCAATGCGAAAATCGGAGCTAAATTCTGTTATTGCAGGAACGAAACATGAAGATTATTCTTTTCCTTAATTGAAGGCGTTGTGAGCGACAGTTACATTTTATCTCGTTTAGAAATATTAAAATTAAAGTAATGAAAAAAAAAATTAAAAATTAAAGTAATAGAATGTAACTTATTAAAAGTATCTCGCAGCGCGCGCGTGCAAATTTATTATTTAAAAATATATCATTTCAATATACCTCTGATAAACATTCATTTTTGAACATTTACTGTATATTCTTAACATTTAATAATAAATGATGACTCTTTAACGTTAAGATTCTGAACTTTTTAACTAAATTTAAATAAAACAACATAATGTATAAAATAAGAGAGACAATTTTAAAAAATTTAAAACTCGAGCTTGAAGAAATGTCCAATAAAATCGAAAAGAATTAGAGAAGCTAGATTGGAAAGAAAAAAATTTAGTTTTCAAGTAATAATCGTGAAATCACATTTAGCGCTAATTGCGCGACGTACCTAATTGCGAAGTGTGTAAGTTTCTTTACTCGAGGGAAAATGCAATTGAAACGCTGCTAAAATAACGCCTTCAATCTTCACCGTTGTGCCAGTCGTGCAATTAGAAATCGGGGACGGAAACAGAGAGAGAGAAAAAGAGAGAGTAGGACGAGGACAGACTGAGACAGACGCGGAGAGTGAAAGTCTCTCCTTACGCAGAGACGAGTTGTAAGACGTCCAGGCCTCGTAAGAGGACCAGAAGGACCGGGAAAAAGTAACTTCTTGTCAGTTAGTCTTTTATAGAAAAGAAAATTATGAATTGAAAAATTACGAATATTCGACGTTGTTTATCGCGAGGCCGACATGTCCAAGAGACATACGCTTCGCGATCGACATCGTCGCCGAGTGTACATGGAAGCGACGACGGCGTCCCGATCGAAGCACAGCGGCTGGACGATTGGAGTCCCGAAAATGCGTTCCGAGACGCCGCGTTCGATTCTAATTATCGAACGAATCGGAAATCGCCGATCTCTCGAGTCTTTTCACTTATCTTTGATTGTAGCTGGACCTGCTAAAATTCTTTTTTTTTATAGAATTGAATGCATGCAAATATTTTGTTTCCTTTTTTTCTTTTTTCGCGGAACCGCAAAAAGTGGAAACATTTTTGTTTTCGTCACTGAGATCGGCATTACCGAACTTAAAAAATTTTTTTTTTAATAAATTTTATTTTTAATATATTTTCTTTTATTTAAATTATTGCAAGTTAAATATATATCATTATTTTCGAGCTAAAATTATTTTCTGAGTCCGATATCTCTTATTCTTAAATTTACTTGTAGAATAAGATTCATTACGTCACTTAACACGGAAGATAAAGCCAAATATTTAGCTTATTTTTGTTTCAAAAAATATCTTGTAAATCTCATAAATTTTGGTTTATCCACCCTAAGTTCAAAATATTTTGATGTTAGTGTATCGATATATAATTTTTTCTTTAAAATTAAATAATTGAATAATTATTAATATACACTCTTCCGTGAACTTTTGTTAAGTGAATCAACTTATTAACC